GTGATAACATCATTATTTATAAACTTTTAAAGTAGTGGAATGATGTGGATGGGGCCAGGCTGTTTTCAGTGGTGTGCAGCAACAGGACACAGGGCAATGGGCAAAAACTGGAACGCAGGAAGATCCATACAAGCACGAGGAAGAGCTTCACCGTGAAATTAACAGAGCACTGGAACAGGCTAGTCACAGAACCAGACCAAACCAGCCCATAAACCATACAGAGACATACAGAGAGCATCTGAGCACCTAGCCATCAGAAATTCCGGCTCTGTGAGGTGCAGTAAGCACATACTGATCAGAGAAATATAAAATAAAAGCCACCAGCCAACAACAAAACTCTTCCCTCATTATTTTCTCTTGAGACTTTGGTTTTCTACACTTGTGCTACTTTTTTCCTTCCTCTCCCCCGGGTAATAATATACGTTTGTCAGAATAGCTTTATGTTCTATCATTCTTTATGAAATGTGTTCTCAGTGTGCTGCATATGTAAGAGTTCAATATTAACAGGCAAATCCCAGAGCTTGCTGTCAGCCTTGATTGGGCTTGATTTAGATCTAAACTTTTTCACAATCAATTATAATGTCTTCAGCACCTTCCTTCATTGTTTAGCAGCTGCCATGCGGTCTCTCCAACTTCTGTTTTTTCTATTATGTGGAGCAATTGCCTTGGGACTAGCAGTATATCTTGTAGAAAATGTAATAGAGGGGTGTAGATCCTTTGGGGTTTTAGAGGGGCTGTTCAGAGACGACCTTAACTAGTTTCAACAACAACAAAAAAGCTTAAAACTAGGTCTGTTTCATCAAGAGTTCTGTTAAATATTAATGGTCATCCAACATTTGGAAACCCACTGATGGTCTGAGAGAGCACTGCAATTCACAGAAATGATTCCTACGTGTTCATCTTTTTTACATGTCATTTTTTTTTGCTTTCCAGTACCAGACCAAGTGCTTACAACATATAGTGTATATAAAATTCTTTAGAGAAGATCTTGCAAGTCAAATTGTGATCACTTTCCTTCTTCGTTCTGTATTTTGTTGGTTTTGCACCAGATTGGCTCAAACACAATTCAGAAATCACTCCATCCCTAGAACAAGTTTTGATCTTTTAGAATCTCTGTTTCAATGATACTCCACATCACTGCCTGTGACTATAGACTAATAGAGGGTCTTGTTTATCTGTGGATCTTGTTTATCTGTCCTTGTGGATCACGTTGTGAACTTACTAAGTGACTCGTTTACTCTGCCAAAATTTTGCCCACTCATGACTGCATTTCCATAGCTTTTATCTAGAGATTCCTCCAAGTACCAATTTTGGTTAGAATGTGCTATTATTTGATATATATATATATTTTTTTCCATTTAGAATACTCGGTACGACGAGAGACCAATGCCACAGTTCACAGGAACAATGTTGAGCAGTGCACACTCAGCAGATATGTGAATTAATAGGATGTGGAATGATGACATACATAGACTTACAGTAATAGTGTTGTGGTGGTATGCTGGATCATGGGAAACAATGTTGGTACAGTTTACATTCATATGGCTCAGACCTGGGTCAATTATATCAAGACTCTTTTGGGTAGCATTTAGTAAAGCAGTTCACTCTGCCAAACATCAGGCAATGAGCAGCAAGCAGTGAGCAGCAAACAAGCAGAGTTAACAGTTAGGAGGCTGGGGCTCTGGGAAAAAAAAAAAAAAAAAAACAAGGAGCAAACCAAAATTATAGAATTAGAGTTACTGCGACACTCTTAATTTCATTTTCACTTTCTGCATGTTTTAAACAAAAGCTTTTGCCAATAACTTTTTTTTTTTCTTAATCTCCTTAGTCACAGTGGCATTAGTGACACTTCGTGGAAGTGTGGAGGATGAGGAAAGATCTTTAACCATTTCTTTTCTCATTTCTATCCAGAAAGGATTTGATCTTTGTGTAAAAGCATATAAACATGCCATTCCTCACATTCTTTTGTCTTTTTGTTTTCTCATTTTAGAACATGTAATGGAGCCTGTACATTACATTACATTGAACTTCAGTAAGGTTAAAGCCACAGAGCTGCCTGTAACATAACTATAACTTCAAACTAGCTGGTTGGATCAATTTCAACATTAAAAATATTTTTATTCTCGTTTTTATTGGTGAAACGTGACAATACCCTCCAGTAATCCTGTAGTATTGCCTGTGCTGCAATATAAGAATCATCACCCCATCTTGAATAAGCTTCTTATTTAAGCTTCTCATCCAAGCATTCCTGCCATGAAAGAGCTGTTCATTAGGATTAGTTACTTTGGGGGAAATGGGAGAGCAGAGTAGAAATTGAGGCTTCTTATGTGGAAAAAGCTGTATAGGAAATACTATAAAAGTAAAGAAATAAAAAGTATCACAGAGAAAGCACTGTTCTTTGAGTGTCTCGTGTCTGCGTTTAGTGAAAGTGTAACTGTTTAGCTCCCCCTGCTGATCCGAAATATTTCTGCTGCTTTTTCAGAACAGGTAGGCTTGTATTCCCCTCTATAGACTGGTTAATCCCTTTTCTAAAAGGAAAAGATAGCAGTGATTTAATTTCCAACGTAGCTTCTGACAGTAAATGTTACAAACACGATAGACAAATTCTTTCCTTCAGGCAGTACGATGATATCTTTGACTCACACAATGATGTCTTTCCTTTTTAGAATTCCTTTCCTTTTTAGAATTGTTCAGCTGGAAGGGATCTGCAAAGATCATCGAGTCCCACTGCCTGAGCAATTCAGAGCTAACCAAGAGTTAAACGTATGTTATTGAGGGTGTTATCCAAATGCTTCTTGAGCAATGACAGGCACGGGGCACCAACCACCTTGCCAGGAAGCCTGTTGTAGTGTTCGACAATGAGGGCACCTCTCAGCCTCCTTTCCTCCAAACTAGATAACCCAAGTGCTGCTGATATCCTCTCCAGCCACTTGTTTCCCAGTCTGCACCTGTGTCCAGCATAACTCTGCCCCAGGTGCAGCACCCAGCATTTCTTTTGTTGAATTTCATGTTCTTAATGGTTTTCCAGTGCTCCAATGCAACTGGATCATGGATAAAAACGTTGAACAGAATTGACTCTAAAATTAAGCAATGCTAATGACTGGCCACCAGCGAGGTGTTGCTCCATTCATTGTAACCCCTCGAGTTGTAATACTGACCCAGTTCATCACCCAGCAAAACACAAACCTGTGTATCTCGCAGATGAGCAGTTTATCCATAAGAATGTTGTGAGTTCCCAACACAGGAAAGATGTGAAGCTTCTTGAAAGGGTCCAGAAGAGGGCCCTAAAGATGTTCAAAGGGCTGGAGACCCTCTCTTATGAAGGCAGGCTGAAGGAACTGGGTTCCTCATTACAGCCTTCCAGTATTTAAAGGGAGATTATATACAGAAGGGAAGTCAACTTTTTTTTAGGTAAAAAGTGATAGAACAAGGGAGAATGGTTTCAAACTAAAGGAGGAAAGACTTAGATTAGATGTCAGGGGAAAGTTTTTCACTGAGATGGTGGTGAGGTGATGGAACAGGTTGCCCAGAGAGGTTGTGGATCCCCAATTGTAGGAGAACTGTTAGGTGATGGTATGAACTGGTGATTGAGTGCCTGGTGCATGGGTTTGGTTGGCCCTGTGCTCCCCATCTAACCAAAAGGAGTGTACCCAGGGTGGATTCATCCTTGGTTCATATAAGGGCCAGCCACTGAAGGGAGAGCATTGCTTGGGTGTAGACTGTTTTCTGAGATGGAGCGCTATATAACCAGAGATCCTCTTCAGCAGCTGGTTGAGTTTGACTCTTCTTTTTGCATAAGACTGCTGGCCTACTTGTGAGTACTTTGCTTGGTATTGCCAAGAATCTGCTAGAAGAAATTTTGCTTCTTTGTGAGCCGAACACCTATCCCTGCAGGTGTTCAAGGCCAGACTGGATGGGGCCCTGGGCAACCTGATCTAACAGTTTGCCATCCTGCTTGCAGTAGAGGGCTTGGAGCTTGATGATCCTTGAAGTCCCTCCCAAACCAAGCCATTCTGTGATTCAGTGCTTATTGTCTAAGAAATCCCTAAAGCAGAGGCCAATTATATTCTCATTTGCAATTGGAACAGGATCCACCGAACAATGATCCCAGCACCAAGCTGGCCAGATTTCAAGAAGTTTCTGGACAATCCTCTCAAACGTATGGTTTGAATTTTAGATCATCCTATGTAGAACAAGAAATTGGACTTGAAAATCCTTATGGGCCCCTTCTAAATCAGGATATTCCGTAATTCTGTGATACATAAAGTGGGTAAGCTTGTCATCAAATTACTAAGGCAGGACTTTCTCTTCATGAACCCGTGTTGATTATGCCTGATAATTGCTTTTTATTTTCTTTAACTGCTTTTTGATATCCCAAAGGATAGTCTTTTCCTTAACTTTTCCAGGGAGGTTAAACTAACAGGTCTGTAACTTCCTGGTTCTATCTTCAAGCCCTTCTTGTGGATAGATATACTATTGCCTAGCTTCCAGTTAGCAGGGGCTTCCCCAGACACCCAATACCTTTGGTAAATTATTGAGGGGGTTGAGCTATAGCATCTGTTGTCTCCTTCAGTTCTCTGGGGTGAATTTGATTAGGCTCCAGGGACTTAGGAATTGCTGTAACTGGTCCCTTACAGTCTCAGCAGCCACAGACAAAAGTCACTGTTCCCCTGATTGTGGTCCTCCAAATCTGAGGACTGGGCAGCCCAAGATTTATTGAACTAGTATAAACTGAGGCAAAAAAAAGGCATTAAATGGGCATTAAATGCTTCCACTGTTTCCTCATCCTATTTGTTAGGTAACCATACACATCGAGTATCAGTGCAGTGTTTTCCTTAGGCCCTCTTTTGCTGCTGACAGACATTAAAATACCTTTCTTTGTTGTCTGACATCACTTTGGCTATCACTTTGTAAACTCAACTTGAGCTTTGGCTTTTCTTGTTTTCTCCCTGTAGACGTGAGCTGCAGCTCCGTACTATTTCTATGAAGCCAGACCTCACTTCCAGAGGTGATATATTTTATTTTTCTGCCCTGGTTCCAGGAGGAGTTCCCTGTTCATTCAGGTCAGTATTCCTCTCTTGTTTGTCTTGTGACACAGTGGGATTGTCTGCTCCTGAGCTCTCAAAAGATGATTCTAGGGGAAAAAAAAAAAACACAAACCAGCCCTCATGGACCCCTAAAGCCTTTAGAGCAGATTCTTATGGGACACTATTAGCTAGCTCCCTGAGAAGCTCAAAGTTTCCTCCCTTAAGGCCTAAAGTGGCAACTCAGATCTTTTTTCAGCTTACACCAAAAATTTTGCACTTGACTATTTCATGATCACTGTAGCCAAGACAGCCACCCACCATCACCTCCCCCACAGGTCCTGCGCTATTCTCAAGCAGTAGATCTAAGTGGGCTCCTAAATGGCTACCTTGGCTTACTGTGTTTGTGGCAGGAAGCTTTTTTCTTCAACATGCTTTAGGACTTGCTTTTCACAGCATTTGGATATTCCCAGTTTATATATGAGAAGGTAATCTCCAAAAAAGGATAGGGACAACTGATCCATACATTTCTCCCATAACAGAGTAGCTCATTCATGTTGTTGGGTTGATGGTCAATATCAGACACCTATGACAACATCTGCTTTGCTATTTATCCCTTTAACCTTTACCCAGAGGCTCTCTACTATGCAATCCCTAACATTAAGATCTGTACAGTCTAATTTCCCCTTTACATACAGCATACAGTGCAACGCTTCAACCTCACTGGTCCTGCCTGAGCCTCCTGAACAGCTGATAGCCCTCCATACCTTCACTCCAGTTGTGGGACTCGTGCTGCCAAATCTCATCCCAATGATGTCATAATGTTTGGAAAGGGCCAAAACCTTCCAGTTCAAGCAGCTTGTTCCTCATACTGCATGCATCAGTATACAAGCATTTCAGATGTGCTCAATTAAAATAAAGAGTTCTGGGAGGAATCTGTTTAAATAAAGTCTGTATTGAGATTTTATCATTGAGATTATGCAGCAATTATTGAATGGTATGAAAACTCAAATATAGAAATGGTATAGAAATGTTAGGGAAAAAAGACAAAAAAAAACATCGGAATCAACTCACTGAATCTGTAATTTGTGCACTCATTTAATTCATTTAGCTATCACAAGAAATTAACAGAGGCTGAGTTAGGAATTTGTTATATTGGCTGGCAGATCTGGTAGCTCATAAAGTTCAGCTGTAGAGAGGGAAGTAAATAAGAGGGTCATAGTTAAAAATAGAAAGCCTTTGAAATGATTGTCTTATCTCTATCCTCAGCAGAAATAGATGAGATCTTTTTCCTGATCAATAGGTAGATAAAAGTGTAACGTTTACAATCCTGGACTGGTATCATAACAGATTAATTGGCTTTGACAGTAGTGCATGGATTATACTAACTAAGCATGCAGCCCACTTGTGGTACTGAAATTGAAGTCTTGATACACACAGCAAGTTAAATTCATTAAAACATTTAAACAAGCACAGGATCAGTGTGCTTCAACATTTGGCAAAAGTTAGCTTTTCACAAAAGCATGAAGAGTCAAAGAGTTTTAAATAAGCTGTTAAATGAGTTGAATGGTAGGCAACCTTATTCAGCAGTTCAGAACCTGATCGATTTGATTTTTACCATATGATTATCTTTTGTGTATGGAAATGTAGAAAATGGAGATCAGAACCACACGATACAAATTCTACAGAAATAAGAACACTCATCCACAAAACAGAGCTGCAACAAGACCTGAGGGTGATTAGAGATAATGCATTAGCCATCTGCACAATGTCTGCTAGCAGCGAGAAGGTAAACAAAGTCCTGGCATGCATTATGTCTCTAGAAGTGAGATGTATGAATCAGAACTTAAATACGTACTGAGCAGTAAGAAAGCATCTTTTAGAATACTTTGAGATTTATGGTTTTTTATGAAGACTGTAGGAAGCTCGAAAACATCAAGAAGCTGCAATAGAATGTACTTTGACTAACACTGGAAGCAAAGGAAATGTCCCATACGAAATGGGAAACCAGACTGTTCTGTATGCACAAAAGGAAACTGAATCTCAGATCTGAAATACCCTAAAAGGGGAACACAGATGTTAATGCAAGGTGTTTAAATACAATAACGACTAACAGGAAAACAAACATAAAGTTAAAACAAAGTTATAGATTACTACTCTGAAGCAATTTGGACAGAATTAGGGCATTCGCAACGAACTGATGCACACTGTATAAAAAAATAATGCATTAACTTGAAGGTGCACTTAGCATGGCAGCACTCTGCCCATGAAAGAACTTTAGGAAAATAGAACAATTAATCTTCCCATCTTACAGATAATCTGTCTGTGCTAACTGTTACAGTGGCTGTTCTTCTCTGGAATGGATTTGTTATAGCTTTGGTGATGCAGAGTGTGTAGGTGACATAATCTTCAGTTCAGCTCTGTTTTAAAAGATATATTGGCAGTGAGACATAAGGAAAGGGATAGTGCAGATCTGAGATGAATGACTGAACTTTGCACAGGTGAGATAGAAAAGGAAACTTCATACCTTTCCTTCTATATAACTTCAGAGCACCTAAACATAGGAGAAACCCACAGAAGGCAGCTTTATCTGAAAGATGATGGGAAGCTTTAGATCCACTTGATATACTGCCCATGTAAATGCAAAACAAAAGCTTCATCTACTATTTGTAAAATAAATGCAGTCTTTTGGAAATAAGTAAATTAATAAAGGTGGAACTCCCAAAGTGATTATCCCTGCTAGTTTGACTTTTGAAAGATGTTATGGGGAAAGGACGGGTTGAGGTTGAGACGAAAACCATTATTAATCATTTGGGGCAATATTCCTTTTAAAAAAGTGCATCTGAGGTTACATTTTGTCAGACAAAGTCGGGTCTCCTGGGATTCTAATATCCATTCCTATGTAGAATGCAGGAACTCATTTTAATTTCATATGGTATGTTTGATGTTATGTCAATAGTGTTACATTTTTTACTAGAAGAAAATGTGATCAGCATGGGTAAGAAGTAGTACCATCTGCTACAAAAATGAAGTGCATGGCAAAAGATCATAAAGCAGTCTTTTAATAAGAGAGATCTATTTATGTATCAATAGACAGTAATGTATGCTAACAGGGTGAGGAAGAAACATGGAATATGGAGACTAAAGCCTCCAGATTTATGCTACTGACTGGCCTAAATTAGGACCCTCAGTTATTAGGCTGTGCATACAAATTTTCACTTTTTCTTAAGGATGAAATTCTGTTTCTACCTAAATCAAGAGCAAATAATGTTTCTCTGCCAAAGCTGTAGTAGCAGCTGTTGCTGGAGAAGTCTTCAATCATTTATGTCAATCTGTATTCACATTCAGCAGTCAGAAGTAGGGTTATATGAGGGTCGCTCTGAAAGTGATGCCTCCTCTTTTATGATGTTGGCCCACAACGTCAGAGGTGGATGTTGGCGATATGGCAGTAGAGGTTGAACCTTCCTGCCAATATCCCATTACATTTTCTTGCTGTGTGGCAGCTGACAGCAGAGGGGCAGTCTGACAGAATGGCGTTGGGTGGGGAAGTGCGTATGAAGCAAAGTTGCAGAATTGAATTCCTCCATGCAGAAAAAAAAATGGCACCCCTTGACATTCATTAATGCTTGCTGAATGTTTATGGAGACAAACAGTGGAGGTGAGTGCAGGAAGTGGTGGGTGGTGCATTTCAGCAGTGACAGTGGGTCACCTCCACAGGTGCAGGCTTTTACAAGGGTGGCATGCAGACTCATGTGCATCACTCATGAAAATGCATAGCTAACAGTGATGACTATGTGGGAAAATAGTGCTTTGTAGTTGAGAATTTTCTCTATCAAATAGTGCTTTGTTCTCATTATAATAGTTGTGGTTTTGGAAATAAACAGGAGACACAACTTTCGAAGCAACATTTGTAGCTTACATGTATAGAACTGGAATGCTGCAGAGGTTTGGAAAGGCTGTCTCTAGAAATGTTTACTATGGCAATCATTTTCCCAGGCATCCTTGTCCTCTGTCTCCCTGAAAGCTACAGTGTACGTGGAACAAGGAGATAAAGCAGTGTTTCTTTCATCAGCAGAATATCCCTTGAGATGTCAACTTTGGCAATGGGAAACCAGAAGTAGGGAAGTAGAAAGGGTTTCTTCTTTAAGACAACTGAAGTTGCATTTGGGTAAAACATTACATGCGTTAACTTGATTTGTTCAAGTGGTGCTCCTTGATCTTGTTTATTTAATACCAGAGGTTTCAGGGTCAGTATCAAAATAGACAATATATTGCAAAAGTTATGATACTCTTAGTATTTGCATTGGACATAACTTTGCACGTGAACTAAAAGGAAATCTTCTGCCATTCCGTAGGTTAGGCTTTAATTAAGTGGTTGCTTAGTTATATACATTTCGTTTCTCATGCATTAAAATTAAAGAACAAGAAGGGATGGAGCAGAGCAAATGCCCACTGTTTTCTCTGAGCTCTCAATAATTCAACAGCCTACTGCAGAAAATCAATTGAAAACTTTACAGATTTTAGGCTTTTTTTTTTTTTTTTTTTTTTTTGGAGAGGGAAGAAGGAGCAGAGAGGTGGAGAGGATGGCAAGGGGAAAAATTTTTTTCCAGCTCTAGAAAGAACAAGAAATTCAGGATTAGTTTAGTGAAGATTAAGAAGTAAATGTAATAAGCTTCTTACTGGTACATATTCTGTAAAACCACAAGAGTTTGGGACTGGATTTTGCTGAATATGTCTAAGGTTAGCTTCTTCAGCACTGATTGTTTTCAAGCAAGACATCTTGACTCTGAAAGGATGCTGTGTTGTTATGTTTTAAAATGTGGTTCTGTACATTTTAATAGCAAATGGAGTAACCATTTTTTTCAGAAAACTTAACAATTTGAACTTTCCAAAGGCTGTATCAGCTGCATATGGCAGTAAAATGTAATGCTCTTCAATTTCACAGGATTCCCAAGGGAGATATGAGATTCCTGAGTGTGTGTGTGTTTGTGTGCTGGACATTGGTGATCGCTTCCTCTGTCTGTCACTCTCCCACCTCTCTCTTTTATTTCCCCTCTTAAAGCTGTTAAAGAACACAAAGCTTGTTTTGGTGTCCTATGGAGTCTCATAGGTTAATCACACAGCTGTAATTGTAGGAGTGCCAATACTTTTAAGAAATTGTATTACAGAGATTCTCATTAAAATTGATGATTGTATTTGGACCTTGAATATCATTTCTCCTTAGTCTAACAGGGTTTGTGAGTCTGTTCACTCCTCTCTTCCTTCACGACTGGGATGTGACACTTGCAGAGGAGCTACTAGACTTGATTCATCACTCTTGATGAAGGGCTTTTTTCACAAACTTCAGGTTTAACAAAATGTTGCAGTGCTTGGGGATGGTTTCAGTTTTGTTTGAATTGAAGAAAAACATTACAGGATGTAATGCTTTATGAGGAGGATTTGCGGGGTCCCAAATTCAAGGCTGATTTCTGTTGAAAAAATCAATTTACCTTTTGAAAGGGGGGCGGAGGGGGGAAATAACAAAAAATAAAACCTACTCTAAGCTTTATGAAAATATCTATCATTTAGCTTTTCTTTCCATTTTACACCCGTAAATTAAACCTTGAAAGAGAAACACGCTCAGAAACAGAAATTAATTTGGGAGCATGAACAGATAATCAGATTTGAAGGTGACCACGCAGTGTTTAAAGTCTTTTTCAGATTTTTTCAAGCAAATATAGCAAAATGTGCTAAAGAGTAAGTGATAGAAGAATAATGTCTGATAGACAGTAATGCCAGATTTTCCTTCTTTGTTACAC